ATCAAAGTATTCACTACATATACAGTGTTGGACACCAGCCCTCCAGGGCTGGAGTTGTGCAGCCCTGGTCTATGTTGTGAAAGAAATTTAAAGACAGTGACAAATCACTTTTATTGATAGTGTTTCAAGTGTTTTTATTTCTTTTTTTTTTTTTGTAAACATTGCTTCTTTAAAATCCATATGTTCTTTCTATAAGGGCAGTTATGACAATGAAATTATTATTTAGAGAGACCGAATACAGATCAGTTACAATGAGTGTGTTTACATGCACTTAATCCGATAACTGCAGTAAATCAGATGTTGTCAGGAATCCAACCTGAGTAATCAGATAATGGGAAACTCTGGGTCTACATGAGTCAGGCAGTAATCGGATTTCCGCTTTGCAACCAGCCAATAAACTCACAGAAGAAGAAGTGATGTAAACATAATGTAAAACTCAAATTTCATACCGCAGCTTTTATTTAAACATTGCGCCACTTTATCTGAAAAATATGAACATACACCATCTAGAAGATGAAGAATATTTAAATCCTTTATTTTGTGCTTGGTTTGAGCAGCGCTCCAAAAGCGTTTTGCTGCCATCTGGCGTCATCCACCATCTGTTCTCACGATTACGCAGACTGAGAAATCTGATAGAAATCAGAGTATAAGAATACATGCGCTGAGAAATCTGATAGAAATCGGAGTACAAGTTTACATGCGCTGAGAAATCTGCAACCAAATTGCAATTGTATTTCTACAATTACAGACTGTAGTCCATCAGTTTCTCTGCATACATTGTTAGCCCCCTTTCACCCTGTTCTTCAGTGGTCAGGACCCCCATGGACCCTCACAGAGCAGGTGAGTGGATCAGACACAGCAGTGCTGCTGGAGTTTTTAAACACCTCAGTGTCACTGCTGGACTGAGAATAGTCCACCAACCAAAAATATCCAGCCAACAGCGTCCTGTGGGCAGCGTTCTGTGACCACTGATGAAGGACTAGAGGATGACCAACACAAACTGTGCAGCAACAGATGAGCTACTGTCTCTGATTTTACATCTACAAGGTGGACTGACAAGGTAGGAATGTCTAATAGAGTGGACAGTGAGTGGGCACAGTGTTTAAAAACTCCAGCAGCACTGCTGTGTCTAATCAACTCAGACCAGCACAACACACCACCGCCACATAAGTGTTACTGCAGTGCTGAGAATGATCCACCACCCAAATAGGACCTGCTCTGTGAGGGTCCATGGGGGTCCTAACCACTGAAGAACAGGGTAAAAGGGGGCTAACAAAGTTTACAGAGAAACAGATGGACTACAGTCTGTAATTGTAGAACTACAAAGTGAACCTATATAGTAAGTGGAGCTGATAAAATGGACAATGAGCGTAGAAACAAGGAGGTGGACATAATGTTATGCCTGATCTCTCTCTCTCTCTCTCTCTCATATATATATATATATATATATATATATAGTTATAGAGTATATATATATAGTTATAGAGTATAGATATATAGAGATGTATTTGTCAATATTGATTTCTTTGTAAATTCTGTCCATATTTCTAAGAAGTTTTACATAATGTACAGAGGCGTATTCTCTTATACAGAGCACATTGTAACATTGCTGTTATTCACTAGAATTAAATAAGATTTAATAAGCTGCAGGAAATCTGGCTAATGTCTGTTGTAAAAAAAAAAAACACCAAAACAGCAGAAACAAATTGAAACATTTCTGAAGAAGAATCTACAAATTCTACAAATATACAGAGATGAGACTAAAAACATTCTACAAATATACAGAGATGAGACTAAAAACATCTGGATACAGTAACTTTTGAAAGAGGTGATAGCAATGAGTTGGAAGGCTAAGCCGGGAAGGAAGAAGGGCCAATTGCAATGTCTTGGCCTCGTGCTAGGTTACCTCCAGTCACTAGAGGGAGACAAGACACCACACCGGGGTAATTAGGGCTGAGTGGTAACAGCTGTGGGCACCCTACTTAAGGGGCGCTCACACACTGCTTTCTTCTTAGTCTTAAGTTCATGCTGCTATTACTACTAAGTAATTTTGGCCAGTGGCTTCAGACCCTTCTCACTGGGTTACCCCATAGCGCTCTGGTATCTGAACAAGGGAACCGCCAGTTCAATATCCATTCGTGGTAAGCCAGCTGTCACACTACATCAAGGAACCCTGAGAACTGGGAAAGAGCTAGGAACTGTAACAGGGCAGGGATGTAGGCCCAACAGGCCTCCTCAAAGTCAACACTCTGGTGGTCAGTAATGTACAGATGTACAGTACAGCCTGCATTTGTGACAGACTCATGTGATGTACAGGCTATGTAATACTGTACCTTCCAAAAACAGCTTGTTAAATGAGAGAGACAAGAGCAATATTAAAAGTTGTGGCGGTTCCAGATCAGCTGTGGTTTGGCATAAAAGCTTAATTCACTGCTTTCCCGATATTTTGGTAAAGTAACCCCCAACAAGACAACGAACATAAAGTGTATTTTTGAACGATGAATAAAGGGGTTGTTATTAGACGTAGGACCGTCATATCAATGATCGAAAACACTTAAGATTCAACATTACGGTGAAGCCGTAGCAGCTCTCACTAAAGTTCAAAAGATAAATGGAACATAAATAAAACGGTTTTATATTTTGGCTGTTGGAATGATCGAGGAATGGTTCTGAAAAAAGTCTGGAGCTCCTTGGGAAAGGTGAAATATACAGTTATTCATAATGCCACAAATTCCAAACATAGAAAAAAAATGAAGTTCCCAGCTCCATAGTATCATTTATCACACGGCAGAGTTCCAGTCAGTTCAGTTCCAGTCTTTACTACATCTCTACTGAGCAGAAGACCTGGGACAGCAGCAGACAGGCCTGCAGAGGAGCAGACCCGGTGATTATAAACAGCAGAGAAGAACAGGTAAATAAAATTATGTTCAGAAAAAATATACAGTACAAACATATAAAATCACAGTGTACACATAAAAATGTTATATGATTATATTATATTAAATGCTGTTAGATATTGGTATTAGATATATTATGACTATTCTGTTGGAATATTTACTATGTATAAATTACTGCTATGTTGCAACTAAAATGTATATTTTTTACATAATTACATTTCTTGTTTCTGCACTTAACAAATATACTATATGTCCAAAAGTATGTGGACACCTGACCATCACAGGAGCTCTTAGGACATCCCATTCCAAAACTATGGAATTAGTATAAAGGTGCTTCCATTTCACAACAATCAAGTGCCCCAAGTTTAAAGTCACTGAGCTGTTAATTATGACTCTACTGCCAGTGTTTGTCTATGGAAACTGCATGACTAGGATTTTGTACACCTGTTAACAATACTGAAACACCTGACGCTCAAGAAGCAAAAAACAATCACAGTGAAGTAAAAAACAGCTGAAAACACTTAAAAGGCAGGTTAGTGCTTTTTCATTTGGTCTTTTTTGACAACAACAAAATGAAACAGTGATCATTTTTTGGTTTTGTTAAACTTTTAAACTGTAACTGACAGCTAGCCTACATAATAATTAATATCCAGCAGCTCTTTTGCTCCTTTTTTGACAAGGCAGCAGGATTTGATTAAAACTAGTTGTATTAGTTTGCCAGCCCTTTGACATAATATTGCATTTTTGTATGATTACCACTGACACATCACAAAAAATAAATCAAGCTTTCTTGGGGGCCCTCTGGCATCACAGGGGCCCTAAGCAGCCGTTTAGTTTGCGTATGCGTCAGGCCACCTCCGCCTAAAAGTGTTTATTAGAAGAAATCAGTTTATTCATCAGGACAAAATCATAAATATTTAATTTTGCTATTATTTTATAGTTATGATGAGAAGAGGACTAATGTCTTACGTATTAAAATAATGTATCACATTAGTATTATTTGATACATTTATCAAATAATGAGTCGTCATTCCCATCACTTTGAAGAAAAAGTTGGAAATGCTTTGAACTTGGTAACTGGATAGCTAACATCTAATACACATTATTTATGTGTAAATAAAATGACCCTGGCTATTTATGAACATAGTTATATATTTAGTAATGAAGTTTTCGTGTTTTGGAATGATGATGATGTATTGGAAGTCTTAAGATTAGGATTTCTCCATAATTAGACATTTTCAGCTTAAATGTGAACAGAAGGAGCTGTTATTTAGCTAGAACCCTGTAGTTGTTCCTTTACATTGAAATAGTTTGGGTTATATTGTATGCATACACACAGGAGCAGGAAGCTAGTCACTAACAGCAGCTTGAACAGGAAGAGGCCAGCTAACCCTGTTGACAGTAGAATGATGTCAGGCCAATAGATGCAGCAAGGGGGAGGGGCTGTTACGTAGTCAAATGAACATCACTGTTTGAACAACGCTGTTTGCTCTCCGGTGTCGACCAGAGGAGGATGGGTTCCCCTTTGGTTCCTCTCAAGGTTTCTTCATCTTGCTCCTACTGTTCTGGAGAACCTCAGCACTGTACAGTTTAGAGCTCCTCTGCACCACTAATGGATGGATGGATGGACAGATTAAAAAATTCGTCAAAGATAATTGTTTGTGGAGTAAAACAGTGTTAGGAAAAACAGTATCTTGGCACAGCAGGATTAGATCTGGACTTGATAAGCCTTGAGAACTACTTAACAACCCTCAGCAGCCAATATTATACTTCTAGCATTTGCCCATAGCAAACAGTGTCGGATTCCAAATCAGTACATATTTTTCTGAAAATGCTGAATTCACCTATAAGAGGGACAAAAACAGTGTCTTACAATAGCAGCATGAAGACATTATGGGCTATATCTACAAAATATTTTACACAATTACAGCTCTTTCATGGGACAGCAGCAACGTGTAAAAGAGAACATGAGGTCTGGACTCTGCTCTTTTCACACTTTAACCAGAGGAAGCTACTGGAGTTTCGTCATTTCCTGAACTGAAAGCAGACGAGCACTAATAATACTAGTGTGCATATGAAGTGCAGATGATTAGTGATGTTTTCAGTCTTTTACAGATTAGAGATGTCTCAGATCATTTATGATGATGTGATCAGCATTGAAGAGCTGAACAGAGGACAGCGAGCCGAGATGGTGGTGGATATCTATGAGAGTGCAGACACTGTTAGACGCCATGACCCCAACACAGAGATGGAGGACCCCAAAAGCAAGAAGAAACCAGAAATTCACAACACAGGTACTGGAAAGTTTTGCAATTTTCTCTGCATAATGAAGTCAGCTGATGTTACATCAGCTGTTAGGTACACTGGTAAGATCATTGATCACTTATGACCCCATTAATATTCACAGAATGTGCACTGAGCTAGTGATGCTACTGCCATCAGATGCTACTGCTAGTCAGTACGAGTCAGTAGGAGTAACATTTCATTTATTTCATTTCAAGTGAATATAAGAACACATTCTCTACAGAGACCACACTTCTGCATATTTGTTACACAAAATGTTTCATAACTTTGGCACAGACCATATTTTATGCAGAGGGGAACCCTTAGAGCAGGAGTGCTCAATCTTCATCCTGGAGATTTACCACCCTGCCGAGTTCAGCTCCAAGCCTAATCCTACACACCTGTTCCATGATCAATGTCATGAGGGGCTTCAGGGGTTTCTGAACACTGTTATGCTGGATCTGATCTCCAGTGTGGTAGGCCTACAGGACCAGGATTGGGCACCCCTGCCTCAGAATATTTAGAATTACTTTTGCAGTACTTTGATGGAAACACAAGGGTTGAATTCTTGAAACACCTAACAGAACCTGACTAATCAGGAATAGTTGTTTTCCTGAAGTATCTAGATAGATATGGCTAAGCTAATGTTGGTTATGTCTTCTAGAGCTGAAGAGAAGTCCTATTATGTTACACTGACTGTCCATATAATCACAACATGACAGAGGAATCAACCAATCACGTTTTGATTTCCAGTAAATGGGACCAATTTTGTGGGGAAAAAACTTCACACTAGGTCTTCTGGAATCATAGATACGTCAGCAGCAGCCTATTAGTGAGTTATAAGAAAGACAGGTTTGGACTGCAGGCAGCCCAGTGTAGCACCTACACTCTCTCATTACGCCACTATGCTGTTGAATGTTTCTTGGTGTTGTCATGTTGAAATAATCTGCATGAATAGGTGTTTATTAGCAAGCAAGGTAGCAAGCAAAGTTTATTTATATAGCGTTTTTTACAACAGGTGTTGTCACAAAGCAGTTTTACAGAAAAATCAGCATTTACAGAAAGAAATCTGGGTCCAAACCCCCATGAGGAAGCCAGTGGCGACAGAGGCACGGAAAAACTCTCTAAGAGCAGGAGGAAGAAGACTCAGAAGGGGAACCCCTCCTCCTCTGGTCGACTCTGGATAGCAAAACATTGTTAGTAAAAGGTAAAGTAGTACACAACGGGGAAAACAGGTGGAGCAATGGTTAAATTGATTAGTTTAGTTTAAGCAGCAGCAGCATCGGGAGGGTCAGTTCATGAGGGTGAGGTTTGCACAGCATTGTTCAGCATGAAGCTCAGTGGCACCCGATCAAGGCAGGCGAGGCAACAGCATCAGATGCACAGGATGGGCAGCTGTTCAACTTGGCAAAGAAACGAAAACACACAGAGAGTCAGTTCTGTAATGAGTGACTGATCACAGATTACAGTATAAACAGAGCAGCCGAGACTCAGTCAGGTCTGGATCTGACAGGGAAAACTAATTACCAAAGGCTTGACTATACAAGTAAGTAAGTAAGACTGAGGCTGTGTCTGAGTCCCGAGCATTAACTGGAAGATTATTCCAAAGCTGGGGGGCTTTGTATGAGAAGGCTCTCCCCCCTGACGTAACTTTATTAATTTTAGGTACTAATAGTAAACCAGCACCCTGTGATCTAAGTAGGCGTGATGGTTCATAATGGGAGAGAAGTTCACTCAGGTACTGAGGGGCGAGTCCGTTTAGAGCTTTATAGGTCAGTAAGAGAATTTTATAGTCAATGCGAAATTTAAGTGTTTTATTATAGGTGTTTATATGTATGTTTAAGGTAATACTAAATACCCTCCATAACTGCCCACTCCTTAATTACCAGATAAATTACATCCACAAATGAGCAGTTGTTTCAGCTGAAAAGCACACTTTTTCATGCTAATCACAAGTATCAAGTAAAGTATCAAGACAAGATCTTCTGAAGAGTCACAAATAATCAAACTGCTGTGTACTGATTAGCAAAACTGCACTTTTAAAAGTGTCCATCTATGTTTTGTGAACTTGGGCTGCACAACAAAGCATCAATATTTAACTACTAGTTAGCTAGCTAACGTTAAGATGCTGTAAGCTGCAAAACACATCCAAACCAAAAGTGGTGCGGCAAAACAAGAAATGAGTCAAGAAATGCAATCAGGCCACTGACTAAAATTGTCTTTTATGTCATGCTAATGGTGTGTCTTTATAAACCTATTTTTTAAAAAGGGTGCTATAGAGCACCCAGCTTGACATCATACCAATAGAAGAACCCTTTAGGTGCTATACAGAACCCTTTTCAAAAAGGTTCTCTATAGAACCATCTACAGTACATTATTATGGACACTTTCATGATGCAAAGGGCACTTTAACCATGCAAAGGATTCTTTGAGTGTTTTTAGAACTATTTTCGAACCCTTGAAGAACCATTCTTTTTAGGAGTGTGGTTATCTGTGTACCGTGGATTTTGTTGAAAGGGTAAAAAAAAATTAATGAAAAATGAACACACAGCCACACACCGCTAACATGCTGTCATTGAAAGGCTATAGTACTGTTACCTTTATTCAGTGTTATGGCCTTAAATTAGCTGAAGAATGCAGACTGACTTGTTTAGAAGATTAGGACTACTGACTTGAGACTTGACTTGAGACTCGCCTGTATCGACTTGAATCGAAACTTGATTATCTTGACTTAGGACTTCCCAGTCAATGTCGTCAGTGTCCCAGTCTTCCTGTTAGCAGGGACCCAGTGAATTCATGTTCACTATGTACTGATTCACTACATACAGAACAGCCCTGCTGAAAATAAAGTGCTGGTCTGGTGTTTGTTTAGCTGTTCTCAGCCGTCTGAATCTACTTAAAATGCTGAAATGTTTCAAGTGTGAAAACACCCATGAACTAAAGCACACATGCTTTTGTGTCCCTTTCCCACTAGGTGGCGACACTGCAGAGAGCAGATGCAGCAGACTGACTGCAGTGTGTCTGGGGCTGCTGTGTGTTCTCCTGCTGGCAGCCATCACAGTGCTGTTAAACAAGTTCATCAACCTGACTATAGAGAGAGACCAGTTACAGACCAGCTACACCAACCTGACTATAGAGAGAGACCAGTTACAGATCAATTACACCAACCTGACTAAAGACAGAGAGCAGTTGCAGAACAGTTACACCAACCTGACTATAGAGAGAGACCAGTTACAGACCAATTACACCAACCTGACTGTAGAGAGAGACCAGTTACAGACCAGCTACACCAACCTGACTAAAGAGAGAGACCAGTTACAGAAGGAAAGAGATGGATTGCAAATGTTTTTGAAACTGGGTAAGTGAACATCTGTGGACCTCAAAGACCACAATTTTAGAATCTCTATAAGTGGCATTAAAAGCTCAGTATGTAACACCATCATTTTTTAATTTAGGCAAATTGTAAGGCAAACTGTTTTTATGCACTTGTTGGGAAACAAAAATGTACCGTGGCACAATGGCCCGTCGAGGGGGGCAGCAGGGCTACGGCCAGCCCTTAACCTATTGCGACTGGGGCCAGTAGCCAAGGTGCATGGACAGAGTAGCTTTATTAGGGCAAATCCAATACTCATAGTGACAAAGCAGATCCATTTAGCAAAAAACAGTAAACAATGCAAGTCAAACACAGTGAAACAATCCAAAGAAATACCTCAGCTGTGAAGTAAGGAAACGCAGAGACTTCACAAGGCCTGAGGTCAGATGATGAAGTATATGTATGGGGGCTTTTTCACACTAGAGCTTCTTTCCAGACCCAGGACTGCTTCCAGCTAACTTTGCATGTGTGGAAGTGTGTGAAAGTGCGTGGATCCACTCCTGGCGCTGCATGTGGGGCTGCGTCATTGGTTCATTTTGTAACATGACTGCTTCGACTTATCATGTTACTTCCCTTTTCATGTTTCATGATGGTGGGGAAAAGATTGTTTAAGACAAAAAGTGCTGTTCTTTGCTGCTGAAGTGTTTGTATCTAATGAACATAATAAAAAGCAGCAAATGAATGAAGCTAGTGCCTATTATTTTGCTAACCTGCACACAGAAAATTGGCATATGGAACCGTGCAATCGATCCAATTTGGGTGGAATTCTTGTGTGTGATAGTAAACCAGGGATAATGAGCCCCTCCCCCCCAAAACAAGCCCAGAATCCATCCTGGGTGTGACTCAAGTATTCAGGACAAATGTGAAATTGTGAAAATGTGAAGTTTGAGCTGCTTTTGGAGCTTCTGGTCCATTTAGAGTTTGTGAAAAAGTTCTTGCTGCTGGTACACGACTAATTCTTCATCTTGGTTGTTGCCATGCCAACAGCAGAGATGACTGTAATTGGTTCAGGCCACCAGCAAAAATCGAACAAAGCGGGACATTTTTACTGTCTGAAAAAGCACATTTAGTGTGCAAGATATCACCACTTATACGTGTACTACTGTTGTCTGAATAAATCACACAAATAAATCAGGTTCAGTGTATAAAGGCCTTTACAGACAAAACCACAGGACAAACAAGCTCCTCTCAGGAGAACTTCAAATTATATTTATTGTAATTATATTATAATAATAATTATATTATTAGATATTCATCTTGGAATCATGAAACTGATGTCTTGTTGTAAAACACTAAAACAGAAACATTTTGAAAGTTTGATTTTATCTAATTTCTTTTTCATATGCACCACATAACTCAGTTTCCCCAAACTTCAGATTTGTTTATTTTTAAGGGGAGATCGCAAATGTATTTTGGGAGCTAATCTGCCCCTGGCTCCCTCTTCATTTGAATGGTAAACACTCATAACACTGAGTTCAGCATTGTGTCTGTCTTTATGTTTATACTCTGAACAAGAACAAGGCTGGAGATACTTAAACTTCAGTCTGTACTACATCACTACTGAGAAGAAGAGCTGGAGTGAGAGCAGAAAGGACTGCAGAGAGAGAGGAGCAGACCTGCTGATCATAAACAGCAAAGAAGAACAGGTGAGAGAGAGAGAGAGAGAGAGAGAGGGAGGGAGAGAGAGAGAGAGAGAGAAAACCATTGTTCATTATTCTTTCCTACAACATTCACAGGAGTTCATCAGTAAAGAATTTGGCAGCACTGAAGCTTGGATTGGTCTGACAGACAGTGACACAGAGGGGGTCTGGAAATGGGTGGACAACTCAGCACTGACCACTGAGTAAGAAACCACTTAACTGAACTCTGCTTATCATTCATATTTACCATTCTGTGAAGGTCTAGATGTGAAATAGTGAAGACATTCATTATTGTTCTTTCAGGTTCTGGTTTGAGGGGGAGCCCAATGATTATGACAGAAATGAGGACTGTGCTATAACTGGCTATAGAGGTGCTGGATCTGATAGTGTATCAACCTGGGCTGATTATCGCTGTAGTCACCCTGTAGTTGGAATCTGTGAGAAAAAAATTAAATAAGACCGAATGGCAGAAACTGATTTTTCATTTTTTTCATTCTTGAAATAATGGAATAAACTACTTGCAATTCATCAACATGTTTAGTGATCAGCTTCAACTATTAAAACATTTTAATTATTAGGACATGTGCTTGTTTTCTGTTTAATGAATAAAAAGACATAACATAAAACATTATGAACAGTTTAGCTCAGGAACTAAGTAATAGTTATCGTAATAGGGGTCCAGATGAGCTAACATGAGCCAGTACAGCACAGTATGGTTACAAATCTGTGATCACACATTTTGTTGTCTTTTCCACTACCATACCACACCTGAGTACTTGTGCTGAATTTTGTTACTATTTTTGTCAGCTTAGCAAGTGTGCTGAGCTTGAATGTATGGGCAGAGCTAGAAATAGTGCAGACCATTGATTGGTCAGACACAGTGTTTGACACGGCTGTTGTCATAACCATTTTAGACAGTAACAGTTTTCTGTCCAAGTAACACAACAGCTACCAAACACATCGAGCAGCATTTGTTTAGTGTCTATTTGAAGCCCTTTCTGACTTCAAATATATATTATTCTCTATCTTTGCGATCACTTACAGTTAAAGCTTATGGTCATGTCAACAATGCTGGATAACAAATAAAAGCACTTGATCTCTCAAAGAACAAAATTGTATATATTTCACTGGTCTCTTAGTTTTCTTCCTTTGATGTTTGCATTTTTAATATGGCCTTATGTCACTTGCTGCTGACTCTCAATCATTTCTGCTTTCAATTATAGTCTAGTTACAATAATATAATTACTGACCAATTACAATGACATGTTTATAAAGAGAGACTAATTACAAATGAGTTACAATAATACAATTACAGATAGAGACCGGTTATAGACCAGATATAATGGCATGACCATGGACAGAGAAAAGTTACAGACCAGTAACAGAGACACATGATTCTGATTGATTGTGAAATTCTAAGTGTTACTGAATTCATATTAGTGAAAATTGAACAGTTACATGTAAAATTCTTTTCTTCCATGTAAGAATGAGTCCATTTGATTCTTTCAATAGCTGCTGTTCATAGATTTTCAGTTCTGCATTGATTTTGTACAAATATAAAACAATACATTTATTACTGAATAGCGCCCTCTGCTGGTTAGAATTTAAATCCTCTGGCTTCTGTCACAGATGCTTGCTGCGTATGAGCTGAATGTCAGTGAGTTATTTCCATGTCTGTGATTCTCACTGTTGCCCTCAGCTTGACCATTATGAGTCTGGACTCAAATTACTGTAAAGCTGTTTCCATCCACATGTTTTAAGACATATTTTGAGGGCTTAATGGAAACGGCAAATACTGAAAAGAATTGCAAACATTACATAACATTTTATATCACTGATTTAATATAATTTTTGTCCATTTTTGTTGTTTTTCATGTTTCGAGATAATTTGAATGACATTGCATGAAAACTTCATCATGAATAGAAAAATAGAAATAGTCCAAAATGGCTAGGAACAAGTAATTTCTCTTTTCATTTCCATAAAGGCTGCAGGCACCAGCTGACAATTGAAGAAATTAAAATGCATCTTCAGTTTATTTCAAAAAATAAATAAATAAATATATATATGTGTGTGTGTGTGTGTGTGTGTGTGGATATGTGCATAAAAGTCACCAACACTCTGCTGATCAATAACTGCAGAGTTCCAAACCTCCTCTGGCTTTAACATCAGCACAAAAACTGTGCACCAGGAGCTTCTTGGCATGAGTTTCCCTGGCTGAGCAGCTGCATGCAAGCCTTTCATCACCAAACACAATGCCAAGCGTATTCTGTGGAGTGACGAATCACGCTCCTCTATCTGGCAGTCTGATGGACGAGTCTGGGTTTGGTGAATGTCAGGAGAACATTACCTGCCTGACTGCATTGTGCCAACTGTAAAGGTAAAGGAGGGATAATGCTGTGGGCTTGTTTTTCAGGAGTTGGCCTAGACCCCTTAGTTCTAGTGAAGGGAAATCTTAATGCGTGTGTGTGTGTGTGTGTGTGTGTGTGTGTGTGTGTATGTGTGTATATATATATATATATATATATATATATATATATATATATTTATATATATATACACACACATATATAATGAAATTAACAAGAGGTGCACCAGAGGAGCAACAATGAGAAGACCCCCAAAACAGGAATGGTTTAATAGGTGGAGGCCTTTGACATTTTGTCCCTCCTCATCTTTTCTGACTGATTTTTTTTAGTTTTGTAGTTGGCTTGGGTCAGTGTCACTACTAGGTACCATGGTGAGGTACCTGGACCATACAGAGGTTGCACAGGTAGTCAAACTCCTGCAGAATGGCACATCAATGCGTGCCATTGTCAGAAGGTTTGCTGTGTCTCCCAGCACAGTCTTAAAAGTATGGAGGAGATTCCAGGAGACAGGCAGTTACTCTAGGAGAGCTGGACAAGGCCATAGAAGGTCCTTAACCCCTCTGCAAGACCGGTATCTGCTCCTTTGTGCAAGGAGGAACAGGATAAGCACTGCCAGAGCCCTACAAAATGAACTCCAGCAGGCCACTGGTGTGAAGATGTCTGACCAAACAATCAGAAACAGGCTTCATGAGGGTGGCCTGAGGGCCTGACGTCCTGTAGTGGGCCCTGTGCTCATTGCCCAGCACCATAGAGCTTGATTGGCATTTGCCATAGAACATCGGAATTGGCTTTGTGCTTTTCACAGATGAGAGCATGTTTCACCTGAGCACATGTGACAGACGTGACAGGGTCTGGAGACCCCGTGGAGAACGTTATGCCACCTGGAACATCATTCAGCATGACCGGTTTGGTGGTGGGTCAGTGATGGTCTGGGGAGGCATATCCCTGGAAGGACACACAGACCTCTACAGGCTAGACAAAGGCACCCTGACTGCTATTAGGTATCGGGATGAAATCCTTGGACCCATCCACTTCAGACTCTCCAGGAACTCAGTGATGCCCTGGTCCAGATCTGGGAGGAGATCCCCCAGGACACCATCCATCATTTCATTAGGAGCATGCCCCGTATGCCTCCATACAAGCACATGGAGGCCATACAAACTACTGAGTACCATTCTGAGTTGCCGCAATGGAATTTCGGCTAAATGGACTAGCCTGCTGCATCATTTTTCGCATTGATTTTCAGGGTGTCTTTGAATTCAACCCTCTGAAGGGTGATAATTTTCATTTCCATCGAACAATGTGGCATCCTTTCTTTCCTTACATTACCCAGTCCATATCAGGGAAGATATTCTGCATTTGTGAAGAAGAGTCATCTGAGGCAAATGATGCCCCTCCTACACTTTAGCCATGTTGTTTATACATGGTCATGTGACTCTCTCCTATTGCGCACCAACAGGTTTCAGATACAGCTGTTCAGTCAGATCAAAAATGTTGTCAATCAGTTTCTATACAAACCGCTGACAGCATTCCCAGAGACTGTCCAGGTTTCAAGCCAGAGTAGGAAAGAGGAAGTAAGCATTTACAGAGAAGGAAAAACTGAGATTTGAAAAAAAAAAAGAAATAAGGAAATAAAATAAACTTCTGCAAAGGTTAACCTGTCAAACTTTAATACTGAACATTAACTAAATATGAAAAGAAAGTGCAGTTTGGTGAGCAGTAAAGCTAGTTTCATTTTCACATATTTGATTTCTTTCAATTTTTCAAGTTTTCGAATGATGGGTGCAAAAATTAATGTGTAAATAATTTTTTATTTGCAAGTAATACAATTAGCTCCCACTTCAATGAACTGAATCATTCTAGAGGGAATACATGTTTCCCTGTGTTTTAGTCTTAGAGCTTTTGTCTCAATTTACCACAAATTTTATTTTTCCTGTTAAAATCACTCCAGTTTGCTCTTAGTGAGCCTTGAACATGCAATCTTTTTCACTGCTCATGAGTTTACATGTCTAAACTCAGATTATACTGCACACACATAATGCTTTTATTTAATAGTCTTTATTTAATTATGTAACTATTAAAAGGCAAATAATCCAAAAATAACTGGAAGTATTCATTGTATTACTTCAATATTGTAATCATGTTGATTAGGTTACAATTACAATTACATTTTTAACAGGTAATGAGTAATCTGTAACACAATACATTTTAAAGTAACCTGAAACCTGAAAGTAGTTAGGCCAACTTGGAACATACTATTTCCAAGCGTGCTAATTTCCCACAGTCATAACATTAGGCTATAGCCAGCAGTGCAATCATCACCATACCTATTTCCAACACTTCTGCTCTACCAACACTGCAGCAACCTTCACTATGAAGCATGTGTTCGCTCACCACAGACCCCTATGCCCAGTGAAGATGACATAACTGAGTTATAATCAGACAGCTGAGATGTACAAAGACAAGAAAACTTATAAACCTAAGGTTAAAGTATGCTGCCATGGCATACATGAAAAAAATGTTTATGGTCTATTTATGTCTTACCTGTGATGCACTGAAGTAAAGTTGGATGTTTGAATAAAAAAACAACGGCAATTGCAGAAGGTCAACAGCACACAGTCCACAATCTGGAGTTCCTGTCCAGAGAGTTCATGTAAAATACCACACTCTCACACACTGAGTCATTCTGAAAGCTGAAGTGTTTGATGTAGATCAGTCACCATTTAAAACGTCATTTCATAAGGAAATGGATGCGTCTGTCAGAGCTCATCCACACTTTAAGACCTGAATTACTGCAGAGAGTACAATGGAAATGATTCCAGTTATATATGAGAATTCAATAACTTCTGCAGATTCCTCTGAGGACTCAGATGACAGTCAGGCTGTATATGAAGACGTCAGAGTCGAGCATATGGGGTCTCAAATAACAAGAAAGAATCAGGAACAGAAGAGCTCAGGTGCACATGTTCTCTCCTCCCTCTTCCTCCTCATTTATCTCTTTTTTATTCTCTATGAAATGTTTAATGGTTTAACATGTGTATAATATCCAGGCACTGTTACACTTCAGTGTCTAGAGGAACAATTCATTGGTCTTTTATGGCTCATTTGACAAAAATAAGATACTTCACTATGAGATACACAACAGAGAAGGTTCTTAGTCTTGGATGAGAAATGGTGGTGTTCCTGTCTTTAGTTCAGTTGCAGATAAACATGAGTGCTACTTTATTGGTAAATCTGAGCACAGTGTGTGACTTTGGATCTCTACTAAAATACAAGAAGGAGCTCAAGGAGAAACACCTGAGCAGCAGGAGGCTTGAGCAAAAGTGTCCTTTGTCTTTCCATCTGATCTAATTGTTGTCTAGGAGAAGCTACAGAGATATTAAGGAGATCTTTGTTTTGATTTTCCTTCTCTATGGGTGGTCCTGTTACAGAATCTGAAAAAACAAAGAACGGGTACTACAGCCTGGCTGCAGTTTGTTTAGGGCTGCTATGTGTTCTGCTGATTACCATCACAGTGTCTCAACTTCACTGCAGGGAGAGACCAGTTACTGACCAGTTACACCAACCTGAACATAGATAGAGACCACTTACTGACCAGCAAAAGAACCTGACTACAGTAAGAGACCATGTAGAAACAAGTGTAATTGAAGAGAGGGACAACCTTCAGAAGAAATTTTCATATTTGGCTAAGATTTAGACACACTTTATCTTTAAATTACAAATTAATATCTAAAAGGGTTCATTAGAAAAATCATCATTTCAAAAATGGGTGGTCCATCAATTAGGGGCACATTGAATGCATTCTGCTATTAAAAGGAACTAATAATGAGTGTCAGTGCCATCACTATGCCTCTGTACCATCGTTATCAGTTCTCATTTTGTGGATATAAAGTTCGAAATGCTTTGGACTTGGCAGCACAACTGGCTAGCTACCACATGACATACACTGGAATGGGCACTTTTCATTATATAAAGGTGGGAAGACATGAGAAGTGTAAGGTAGGGCGTATGCATGCATACACAACACAAACACAATGAAACAAAGACTACACAAAGACACAAAAACATGAGGGCTATAAATAACAGTACCAGTAAACAGTAAACTCTGGGAGAGGTTACACAAAACACAGGTCATAGCAATGACTAGGAAGGCAGAACTCCTGTTTCTGGAATATCAGAAGATGGCCCTAGAGTCAATATAACGAATTGCCTTTCAGCTTCGCCTTTTTGTCCCTTCTGTTATTCCGTAGTTTCCCTCATGCAGAACGCAGAGACTAAAGCAGTCTCTCTTAAAGTTTCCTCTCAGTTTGTGTGTGTCAGTTTAATAAAAAGTAAGTTTATTAATACTTTGAGTTCCAAAGCAGGAGATATAATTCATGTAGTTGTGTTAAAATTGAGAAAATCAAATTAGTTCATTCCTTTGTTTCCACTTCTCTGAATGCTGTTGTTGAATGCTACAGGGCAAATGTGGCTAGTAATGCTGATAAGAGAGTAACGTTAAGCTGCCTGAGTTTAAGTAAATGAAAATAATGTGTGTTTATGCTTACCAACTTACTTTCTATTCAACTCCCTAATTTACAGGTACAATGTTTGACTAGTAGAATAGCTGCCTTAAGGGCTGGGCGATATGGCCAAAAAGTAATCATGATAAAAAATTCATATCAGTTGATATCGATACATATCGCAATAAATGTCAAATCATTATTGCTTTCAAGTTTTAAGACTGATTTTAGCTCCTGGGTGGTTAATTCCTGATTTAAACTATCCTTTATGGTCAGAACATGACAAGCAGTTGCCAAACAGTGGAACATTTTACAAATATGTCATGGGAGAGTGGGAGAAAGTTTCTGGTGAGCTGTTTTTACCAGCTGGAAAAGCACAGCCTCAATTTTTGTAATATTAATAATTTAAGAAAAAAATATATTTTTAGCTCTCTGACTACAAGTGCTAAACTGTGTAGTTTCTCAGCAATGTTAGTGTAGCACGGCATGTGCTACCCCGGGCTCAAGGAGGACGCTGGAGGCAGGGTTTAGGGTTGCAGCAGCCATCTCTTTAATCCAAAAAAACCAAACAGACAAAACCAACAATACAAAGAACCTAAGCTGGCCACTCTTCAGTGGCTTCAGTCCCTTTATCCTCAATAAGGAGCTTTCCAGCTCCTCAGTCTCTTGTTGCTGCTGCGTGGCCCTCTCCTCTCTCTCTCTCTGTTCCCTCTCAGCTCTTTTAAAAGGCGCTCACGCTGCCCGCCAGATCAGCATCAGCTGGCTCTCATTAAGGCAGCGCGAGCACCTGAGCCGAGAGGGAACGAGAGCTCGCTGCTCCGCCTCCTCGTCACCGCCCCCAGCTGGCGGCTCAGCCGCCCGGGTCGAAGGTGAGGTGTAGTGGCGCGGCCTCGCTGCGTAACAGGGGGCGGGGCCCAGGCGGCGGAGCTCGGGACTCGCTCCTTCCCCTGGTGCCTCTCGTTACCGGCACCGTCGTCGTCTTCCTCCTCCCGCCGTCACTCGCGCCACTCTGAAGAGCTCGGGCTTTTCGCTCCGCCCCCTCCACACTCGCGGCTCTCTTCCTGCCGCCCTGGCCGAGGTTCGTCGCCGCTGGGTGTTCGGGCCCCGCCTTCCTGCCGACTCTCGCGGCCGTCATCGTCGGGGCCCGGGGGGCGGGCGCATGCCACAGTTAGCTTAGTACAAACAACATTAGCTGGCTCAGTATGTCAGTGATGGATCACACTTCCTTAATGTCATCACACTTACCACATCCATGTCAGAGCATATCATAGTATTCATACATAAGCTAGTAGACATTTGGATTCCTCTGTTCTATTGTAGTAGTTTGAGGGGTGGAAGAACCGCAATATATCTGACGCTCGCTGCGTAAAAGTATTAACTGCAATGTGATTCTTTAACACTAGACAAACAAAGTCCCCCTTTTAGGCAGGTTTAAACTAAAATCAGTACTTTTTTGTCTTGATTGATCTACAGTGACATCATTTCGCATGCTGTGCGAGTGACTAAGCGCTGCTTTAAGTTCGCCAGCTGCAAAAACAACTAGCCTGCGGAGCTAGCATTCTCACACTCTCCAATGCCTCACATACAGGATCTTCAGTGTACTTTTGTTTAAATCAGTGTTGTAACTTGCATGAACCCACTTCTTCCTTTTTCTTCCGTTGCTTGGGAATGCATTAATACTAAAATATGACTGTTTGCTGTAA